CCCGCCGGAAAAGCGAGGAGCCCGACCGCCACCGGTGTTGACACCGACTTAGGACCGGTACTCGGTCCGCACTGTGTGGGGAATCGCCGCGGGTCCAAGTCCCCCCTCCGGAAAGCGAGGGGGCGGTTGCCGAAGGCCGAACGCGCGAGGTGCGCCCTCCCCTTCAAGGGGGACGGCGGCAATGAGATTCCGGGGGCGCGGGGGAATGGGCGTGTTAATGTGTTCGTCCATCCATTGTCTTTGTCGTGCCCCCGGTCGCGCGGTGTTGGGCCCCCAGCGGACTCGCCTGTGTCCGATAGCCGGGAGAATGGTAGGTGAGAGTGGGCGCGCGCGAAGTGAAGACTGCCACCAGAACCGCCTCCGGCGGCGGGAAGCTCGGGGCCTCGGCAGCGCCAGAGGGGGCGCATGCGCCCCCCCCCCCCGAACACCGGGCGGCATGGCACGAGTGTTGGGCGAGGCAGCGCCCCCGCCCGCTCCGGGGAACACAGGGCGCATGGGACATGGTGCAGGCGCACCACCGGCAGGGGATCAGTTACTCCAGAAGTGCCAGGCGGCAGTAGGGGATCCCTCCAACACGCACGGGCCGGTGCCGGGCTACAGCGGCGGAGGTGACTAACGCCGGTCTCAGTAGCCATCTCTCCCGTGGGTCGGTGCGCGGTCGGGGGTGTCGCGGCTGCCGTGGCCAGTCGGTTGGGAGAGCCCACCCTCGGCGCCACAGGAGCCTGACCCAGGGACGGGGCGCGGGGGGGGAGGGGGGAGCATCTCTAGGGGCGGTACCAGCCAGGGACCTAGCCGCGAGCGCCGGCGAAAACAGCCCCTTTTCCCGCACGAAAGGGAGGCGCGGACATGCCCGGTCCAACGGGAGCGGGCTCCGTTCAGTGGAAGCACGCTCTGATGACAACGCTCTCTCTCTCTCTCTCTTTCTCTCTCCTAGGGCCAGCCGCCCTGCTAGAGGAGCCTCAGGTGTCAGGCCAAGAGCCCGAGAACGGGGGGCCAGGGGAGGGGCAGATACAGGAACAGAGGCGGATCGCCCCCACTTGGGAAACACCGCACTCACACACACACGCACACACACATACACACATACACACATACACACATACACACACCTGTGCCAGGTGCGCCGGCGCCTGCGGCCCGTTCCAGGGACCGGGACAACATTCTCATGCACCTGCGGCCTGACGCACCCGAACACCAAATCGACGGGGTGGGCCGCATGGAATGTCCACATGTCCTTGACACAGTGCACGTTTGCCTTCCCCCCCCCCCGGAGAAGGACCAGGGCAACTCTGCCCTCCCACGGGCTGGGGCCCGCACTCCGGAGAAATCAGGCGGTCCACTGGGCATTCTTCAGGAACTGGCCACAGGCCCTCCCTCGGCAAATGACGGTTGCCGCCGTTATGGAGACCGTGTGCCGCTAGCGAGTCCTTCGCACCCGCCTGCCCCCCGCTGTTGCCGCCTCACCGACAACAGTCAGGAGGAGGGGGGGGGGGGCCGTGGGCTGGCGTCTCTCCCCCTGGGTGACCTAAAGAATGGTGACCAAAAGGTCCTCAAGATGGGCGGGAGAATCACTCACTACCGCAATCAAATGGGCGGGAAAAAGGCGCCCCCTCATGTCTCCGCCGCTACAGGCGGGCCCGGAAACGCGGGGCGTAGTCACTATGGCAAGATGCCAACGATGTGCCAATGAACCCAATATTGGGAATGGTGTTGTGCCGATCACGACGCCCGGCGTGACAAGGGGGCGTGTTGAAATGCCCCCGCTCGTGACACGACACGTGATCCCCATTACTGCCAACGCTTGTATGAATGCCGCAGCCTAGGTATATAAGGCTGCGGCCCCTGCTCTGTCCACCGATGCGCCTGCATCGCTGCCTATTGTATATTCCCTTTGCACCCAGATATACACATTACCGTTCATCCACGCGTTGCCCGATTCCACCCAGGGATCACACCGCTGCGTTTCACGTGTTCCATCTCCGACGCCGAGGGAGGGCTGGGGCACCGAACGCCACGGCAGTATCCATTACCGCTCGGCTTTGGAAAGTGCCACAGGGAGGGAGGCCAGGCGCCCCGAGACTGGCAGTGCTCGCGATCCATACTCGAGCGTGCCGAGCACTTCATCCCCGGGGGGGGGGGGG